GGTAACCAAGTAAGAGTCCTGCTTACATTTCAATTGCTCGCTAGCGATCGAACTTGCATTTCTCACACATATAAAGAGATACAAGTCTGTGTCTTTAATAACAATTGAACAATAGCCAAAGGAAATAGATTCATCTCCTGATTATAATATACACGGCCATTTTAGCCTCATCTATCAAGGTCAGTTTGGCCAAAATTGTCTATATAAGTAAGCTGAAAACAATTGTATTAGACTTATATATACCATTCACAAATTATGAGAACACAAAATAATTAAAATTGAGTAAAATACTGGTCAGTATATTACATAGACCATGGAACATGTACTAACAAATGGAAACATGTTCTAAGTCTACACCAAATATTCATAATTAAAAAACTAAATTGTGTTGAACTGTTTGCCAAGTAATAGTGTATGTCAGCTATAAAAGATGTTGAGCAACTAAATTGTTGATAGGAAAGTTTCTTTTTAAAGCAACTTACAAAGTTTTAAAGAGGTCAAATGGTCAACACCTAAAATGTAGGTAGATTAGTCACAAAAACCAATTCTAGGAAGTGTCAGGTGAAACAATCTTGGAAATAATGAGAGCCAAGTGCACAAACTGCATGGGTAAAGATAAGCAGTGGTTGCAAGTTGAAATTCACAGGCAGAGACAGATATTTTTGGACAGCTGCTAAATGTCAAAAAAGCAATGTTTCAACAATGAACCTGGAATTTTCACAAATATAAAGTTGTATCAGGGCAACCACTGCATCCAAGGCCAGCATGCCATGATGTCAAAGCAGTACAAAGCGTGGACCATTGCACATTATAATAAAGTAAAACAGATTAATATTACATGAATTCTTAGTTACCCAATTTGTAGATGGTTATTTCTCTAGTTATAGTAACTCACTGTAGCCTGATTTATCTTCCTCCTTGCTGCAGGTTAAAGGGACACTATAGTCACCAAAACAACTTTAGCTTAATGAAGCCGTTTTTGTGTATAGATCAATTCCCTGACATTTAGCAATTAGAGCACTTTCGTTCCTGTTAACACAGCCCTAGCCTCACCTCCCCTGGCTGTAACTGACAACACTCTGCATGAAAACAAAATGTTTTAATTTTCAGTCAAACATAACTTAATTTAAAAGTTTTTATCTCCTGTTCTGTAAATTAAACTTTAGTTACACTTAGGAGTGTAATATATGGTATATTACCAGAGCAGGATATAGGAAATTCTAAGTTAAACAGACTTTGCCATAAAGGAAGTGTAAACATTAGATGACTCTTTACAGGAAGTATTTAGGATGGCTGTTTAAGTCACATGAGGTGTAACTAGGGCTGCATAAACAAAGTGTTTTAACCCAGAATAGAACAGTGAGACTGCAGGGGCATGATCTATACACCAAAACTGCTCTATTAAGCTGACATTGTTTTGGTGACTATAGTGTCCCTTTAATGTTAAACTAAAAACTTTGTTTAATGGTAACCTGGATTTCATTGCATCATAAAAATGAGCTTGTAAAAACTTTTCAGACACTGTGCTTACTCAGTAATATCAAGTGAGGTGCCCAACGTTCAGTGGAGTCATCTTGAATTTCTATGACTTTTCCAAAATTAAGTATCCATTGATTTGAGTGGGCACATGGGTCAATATTTCAGCCAGGATGGAAGCTCAGCAGAGTCCAAGGTACACAGGGCCCTGAACCATTTTGCACTCCAACAAGACCTGGGTATTTGTAGTCGAGACTGAGCAGAGTAATTTTAAATCCACACAGAGTCCTAAGCTATTTTGTTCCATTACAAATGGTAATACATTATAGAGAAATGTGCAGGGCAAAAAAGGTTCCACTGACTGTCATCCCGTAGACTTGTGTGGTTACTGTTGTTGTAGTTCTGTTGTTTTAGAGGACTGTCAATCATTCATTTTAATGAGGATATCTATCACAGTTACATATATATTGCAGACAGCGTGTATGTGGGTATCTGTAGATTGTTAAAGATGAAAAAATGTAGGATAACTACAGCATGCCAGCTTCATTTGACATATTGACTTAATCCAAAAACCATGAGTGGGATCTATTTTGACACGTGTTTCATAGATCATGTCCACTCCAATAGTTTCGAGGTATAATTTGTTATCATTGTAGATTAGAGATCAGTAATTTTTTTTTTTTGATACACATCTTTCTGTTTGAAACTAATTGGATATGT